ATTTGGAAAGTGTACATTATGTGAACCACCTTTAATACTCGTACAATCAAAAAGTGCTTGTGAATAACTAAAATTATGTGAAGGTTTAATGGGATTGTATTATGATAATTATAGTAATGATTGTCTTCCTCAATGTGGAGATGGTATTGTTGCAGGGAATGAATATTGTGATGATGAGAATGATGTTCCTGATGATGGATGTTATAAATGCCAATTTTAATGTGCCAAATATTGTCAAATATGCGACTAAGGAGAATGTCTTTTATGCGATAATGACTATACCTTATAAAACAGTAAATGCTTGTTAAATAAAGAAAATGATGACCTTATTTCTAGCAATATTGAAGAAACTTAAAATAATAATCATACAAGCATAAGCAACATAATCAATTATGATTTAAATCCATAATGGTTGTCATTAAATGAAAATATGATATGCTGTGAATACGACTGTGCATACTCAAAAAAACCCAGTTTGAAACTTACTTATAAAATGTAATTCTATGCTTTTTAGTAAATTGAGATTACATTTGATTAAGAAGTTAAATTTAGTGATTAGGTTTAAAAAGAAAAAAAATTATTTGACATAAGCATTAAGGACTTAGATTCCAAGTATTACAATATCGCAATCAATTCGATTTAGGATATCTCATTTGATCTTTAACATGCTTAGTATTAGGTTTAAATTGAATTATTTTAACAGCTTTAAACAAAACCAATTCTTTAAGTTTAGTTGAATCAAGAAATTATTAACTCAAATAATTAAACACTTTTTAATCCAAATTAATCAATTACTCTATAAATACCAAAAATAATGTCTGAAGAATTAAGATAAGTATCGATTTAAGCTTAAAAATCCAATAAAGCATTTATGATTGGAGCCATAACAATATGTGTAATATCTTTAGTTTCTGGTGAAAGTTCTTTTGTTGTTGAAACCTTGAATCTATTGTAATATCAATCGTTCTTAAGATTTATTAATGTTGACTATCCTGAAAACCTCTACATATATTTCTAAGCATAAGAATTGCTATCTATATAATCTTATTTACAGTTTTTTTAAATTGATGATTTTGTAAATATAATAACAAGAAAAGAAAAATAAGTTGATTTAAGTGAGAAATTCTAATAATATAATATAGATGCTGATCTTTTTACCAATATTTTACCACAATTAATTTAATGTTTAGTATTTGTAACTCTCCTTTTTTTTGCCAAAAATCTGTTAATTAAATTATTTAGATTAAGAAAATATATTGAAACTCTTTAAGATTAAAAGTTTTTATTATCAAGGATTTTAATTGTCATCATTAATTTAATACTAATTTGTAAAAGCTTTTTAAAATTATTAATCAAGCTAAGATATCTTTAGAATTATGATAAAATTCTACAACTGATTTACGTTAATTCATGGGATTTAATATTTAAAGTGATTTTGTAACTTCATTATAATCAAATGGATAATTTTAGGAGCATTTTAACTAACTGTTTTGCAACTTTAATATTTATCACCTTCATTAGCTTATTATTAAAATCTTTTAGTTTATGCAGCAATCACAATAAAAAAAGTCAAATGGCAAAGCTAGAGATAAAATTTATTGGCTTAGACATTTCCAGATCTATATTTTTCCATATCGTGCTGGTACTATTCTAAGAATAATAAATTTTGCAATGCTTACTAATATCTTTTAGCAGTATAACTTAATGCTGTATAATCTATAAATATAAATTATGTTCTTAATTCGATAGAATTATATACATAATCGTTGAAGGTGTTTTAGCGGTTTTTAGTTTAAGCTTACTTCCATACTTCAGCATTTTTGGTCAGATTTCTATTTCTTATGAAAAAAAAATTATTTTAGGTTTTATTTAAATGGCCTTTTTGATTATGTGTCTTGGAGTTGTTTTTGCAAAACAATTATTTCTTAAAATCAAATGGGTTTTGAGATTAGTCTGTAACAAAAAGTAACCCAAAGTTGCAAACAGCAAAATATTTTCATGAATTAATGATATATATAATAATTATTTGGACATTATGAAAATATTTAATATAGATAATGTAATTAATTTAATGAAATTATTAACAAATAATAAAGTATTTTAAATAAATATATATAATTATCATTAAGGTTTCTAACGATAATAATCTATAATTCTTTACACTTTCGATTTATCTATTATTTTTTTTTGATCATCTAATGTTCTTAGTGATTCAATTTCTGCAAACAATAATACAATCAAGCAATATAAATCACATTCTTTATTGTTCTTATCAATATACTATTGTGCTTTCATATTATGTCCTTTATCTTAACTTAAACTTTTTGTTTTGTTTGTAGTATTATCTTCCTATCTTGAATTTAACAAACCTTTTTAGGAATTATGAAATCTAGAAACTTCCAAAGATAAGAGGGCAATTTTATTTTTATAATCTTCAATTTAACGGGAATTGATTATTAAGTTGGAATTTTCCTTAAGAATATCATTATACTTTTGTTATAATGCTTACAGTTTTTGATAAGGATCATCTTCAATATTCTATGGGATGAGAGTTTAAGAAGATATTTCAGACTTTAAGAATTAATTTTATCGAGATTAAAATAATGATTTTTATTCACTTGACTAAGTTATAGTTTTTTAATAGATTTATTCCATTTCCACAAGTTTATTTTGTGATACTTATAACTATTATGATAATTAAAGAATTTTTTGTTCTTTTTCATCAATAACCTTACTTAATTTAATATTTAATTAAGTAATCTTGTTCATTTTCTTATTATCTATTGATTCTATTTCAACTTTTTATTCAGAAGTTTAAGGATTGTTTTCAAATTATTTGATTTGTTTTTCTTGAATTGTTAATTGCTATTTCAGTTAACATATTTCTACATTCTGATTCATAATTTTCAAATTAAATTTGTCGATCAATTGGCATTTTTATTCTAATAGCTAACATTTTTAAGAAATTTATTCATTTAATTACTAAATTTCCATCTGCAACTCACTCTTTTAAATTTAAATTTCTTCTAATTATTGAGGATTAATTTACTCATTTTTGAATTGCTATTCCATTCTTAATGTATCGATATATTTTCTGAGATCCTTATTTTCTTAGATTTTATTTTCATTATCAACTTTTAATATATTTAATTCTTTTTCCATATATTTTATTTAATTACTATATAAGTGTAATTCTTATTATAATTATCTTATAAAAAACTCTTTTTCCTAAATTTATTGAATTTAAAGTTTAAATTTTTCTTCATTGTGGAAATAATCATTTTCATACTGTTAAATTTTTGTATTTTATTATTAGATAGTTAAAATTTATTGTTCCGTCCTCTATTATAGTTGATTTATTTATTTAGTTGTTTATTAAAGTTGTTATTTATATGAACTAATTTCCTTACTCTATTCATTTGCAAAATGAAATTGGGCATTTTCAAGTTACACTGTTAAATTTGTTATTTCTATCTAATATTTATTAATCTCAAATTTCATTGAAGCTATTTGGTCAATCAATTCTTGGTTTTATAACTCTAATTTATATTTATCTTATAAATAATATTAGTTTTCTGATTTTAATTTATCTAAAATTTATGATTTCACATAATCCGATGATGATCTAGAGCTTTCTTGATTTGTTTTTTAAGAAGAACTGTACTTAAATTGTAATTGTCTATTTTATTCTTCTAACTCTTAAGATTGCTAAAGATATTTTTCATTGGATTCATAGATCTTTTTATTAATAATACCTAATTTAATTATTTCAACTTCCTTGGAATCTAAGAGATCCTTAATATCTTAAAATTCAATTTAGACTTCTACTAATTGATCTTCCAATTTGTGAATTGTATTTTGATATTCATCTAATTATGATTTGAGTTTAAAATTATCTCCATTTATTTTATCAATAATTCCTACGTAATGTTATTACAATTCTTTTTTATCATCCATACACTACTATTGTAAAAGTTGTAATTGGTTATCTTGCATCTGCATAATATTTTTATTCTAAATCAATTTATCTTGTATTATTTATATTTATTGAGAGAATTCTTTAGAATGTTTCGATACTTTTAAAGAATTTTTAAGTTATTCACTAAGTTTTTCTATTTCGTCATTCAATCTTAAATTTTCAAGACTTATTTCTTAGATTTCTTGAGTTTTTTATTATAATTCTTAATTCAAATTGTAAATCTCTTGTTTTAAACTTTCCAAGTCCTTATTTTATTTTAATAATGCTTCATTAGGATCATCTTTGTCTTTGATTTAATTCTACAGTGATGATATTTCATTTGTAAGATCTAAAATGGTAGCTTATTTATTTTGTAATTGAGTTTTGAAGTTATTAGATAAGCTAACTAAATAGAAGGCTTCTTTTGCGAGTTTTTCTTTTTCAGATAACAGTTTATTTTAATCTAAGAGAGAATTTCTAAGTTTGCCTTCAATTTGGATTTTATGATTGGAAATAGATTATACTTCTTCTTTCAGGCATTTATTCTATTGTTCTAATGAGATTACTTTATTCTTTAATTCAATTAACTATTTTTCGTTTTATTCTTATAAACTTAGCTGAGTGGAATGTAAATGCTAATTAGAATTTTGGCGTTAATCTAATGTTGACTATGATGAAGCAATTTGGACTTCAAGTTGCGAATTTTATTCGGTTAATTGATTTATTTATAATTTTTGATTTTAGATTTCTAGTTTTTGTTTTTAAATATCTTGATTTAGACTTATAACAATTTAAAGATATTGCTCTAATTAATCTTTCAATTCTTGGTTAATATTATGCTAGATTATGAACTATTCTGAGTTAGAAATAATCTCATTTATATCTTGTCCGTTGAGGAGTTCTTGGATTTCATCATATTTGATGGATCTCCTTTTGAGCTCTTCAATTAATTCAGTCAATTCTTCTAAAGTCAACTCATCACCTGTAATTTGTGATATAATATCAATAACGTAATCATGTTGTGATTTCAATTGATTATAATCTGAATCTAATTGATTTTTGTTTCTTTTGAGTTCATCTAGTTTTCTGGTGAGATGTTGGATCTGTATACTATTTTAATCAATGGTGTTCAGATGAACTTTATTGAGTTGATTAGCTTGAGCAATATCCAATTAGAGTTATTGTGTAAGTGCTTAAAGTCTCTCAACTTCAATGGCTAATCCAAAACAAATAACTTCGATTTATAACATTAAAATAAATGGGATGCGTAAAATCAAATGGAAATAAAAAAGTAATGAGTTTGATTTCTATTAAAAAAGTTAGAAGACATGAAGCAAGGTTTTGTTATCCGAATTCAGCATCCTGATAATAGGACTGAAAAGCAATTTAAATACTTTGATGAGAAATAGAAGAGTGATCTTATAATGAATGTTATGAATGGAATATGTTTTAGTGAGAAAGTCTCTGACAAATGTGATGGTAATTTTATCTCAGTTTATGATCCTGCTGATGATCGGTTTCACTATTACATTTAAAAATTAGATGGTACTGCTTCGAATTCTAAAAGTACTAGGAATAGAAATTGATAACCCGAATGAACCTTTGAAGGGCAGGATTTGGGTACCATATATCAATGAAAAGAAATCAGATTGGGATATGTTAGTAGAGAATAACACAAGAATATCGATAAGTGATCACTTGTTATGGAAGTTAGAAGCTGTGAAAAAATGAATGAATAATTAATTTATTATGTTATGATTAGAATGATTGTCACATTTCAATATCTTTAGAATAACTAGTAGGATGTTTTCTTGCTTTTCTTTCTCTCTTTTTTCTACGAGCAGCATCAACTCTACTTTCTGGTTTTTTAATTACTTTTTTCTAAATTTAATGGATTTAATACTTCTTTCTTTGTTTTCTTGTTTTTTTTGTCTTTTTTAATTTTCTTTTTCAATCCAAAGACATGTTCTTCAGAATCAATTTCCAGATCATCTAAATCATCAATCCATTTATTGTCTTCTTTCTCTTATTTTTTCTATTATTTCAACTCTTTCTTCTTTTATTCTTCCTATTCCTTTTATAACATAAACTCATGTTAGGCCTTCTTTTTTTGTTTATTATTTTTTCTTGCCATTAATATAATTTTATGAGATTCTAATTATTACTATATAAAACAAATATAGAAATCATAAACAAACCATGTCATTTCTTCCTCTTAAAGAAGCTGAATTAATTCAATCTCGAATTCCAAAATGCTGATCCAATAATCATCCCATTTCCAATCCAAAGTGCATATGGCAATTTATAAAAAAACATATCATTTACAATTAAACTTGAACCAATTAGGGTTATCAAAAAGGGAGCATAAAGTATTGATTCTTTGACTGAATATAATGACAATAGAGAAAAGGCTAATAGAATAATACATAGATAGTTTAAATAATGTAGGTATTGAGTGATTGGAATTCCGAAGGCAGAAAAAAATGCAGAGAGCGTTGAAATATAAAATGAATTGCAAACTCCTCCAGCACAAAAGCTAACTGAATTACCAAACATTGATAATACAAAGTTTAATAAAATGCTTTTATTGTTTGATTGATTTTAAGATGTTTCTTTTTATGAACTTAATGAATATAGCAAGTATACTAATAAAGTGAATGCAAAGCATGCAAATAAGTGCATTAGAGGTTCAGCTATATCTTATTATTGAATAGCCTTTTCGATTAGATCTCCCAAATAAAATGTGGACACTGCCAAAGGTGCTGTAATTAGCAATTAACATAAATTCCATAACATAATAATTTTCCTTTGTTTGAGACTTAAATTCTTATCCTTACGAGATTACTAGCTAATATTGTATATGCTCTTCAGAAATTTATAGGCAAAAAAGAAAATCATAGGACTCAAGATGAGTGTCCATTTTACATAAAAGTGGACTGTCATCTTTGCATAAACCAGAGCTAAAGTCAAAAGTCCTAAAATCGAAAATGATTTGGACCCCGGAAACCCTCCATACTCCTCGATTGATTAAGGCTATTCGCTTGTGTCTGGGAGCATTAATATATATTTATAAATTAATAATAATTATTAGAAGTTCTCATTATGTAATTATTACTCTTAATGTTTAAGTAAGAATAAATTAATAATTCTGAATATAATATTAATTTTGAGGTTGAGATTATTTAAAAATTTATATTTTACCAGTCTAATTAAAACAACATTATTCATTAAATTATTAAGTACACTTTGAACTAATTCATAATCCATTGCAGATTAACAACAGAATTTTTAATTGATTTCAAAATTATAGATAGATATTAAATAAAAAATTTATGTTTATTTGCTGCAATACCAAGCCTAAATAAGAGAAGTATGCTATGCGTCTAAATAATCTTATTAGATCTCAAAAAAACACATCTTCTACAGCAAATTCTGAAGTTGAATCTATTAAGCAAAGCAAGTGTGAAGAACAAATGCACAAGGAACCAGTCTAAGAGACCACAAATAAATCACTAAATGTGGATTTGACTTAAAAAAATAAAAAGCACTCAGAGATCTAAAACATAGTTAACAGAATTAAAGCATACCGAGAGGAAGGCAAACTTAACTTGAGGTATATATAATATTTAAGTTACTTAGCATTGATATAGAAAAATCATTCGTAACCTCTTTGATTGAAGAGGATTTACCAACCATTTATTTTGTGGAGTTCAGGTGGGCTGTGAATTATACAACATTCTTGGAAAGAAGGATTTAGGAATTGCCAAAAAAAATTAATAACACTAAATTGTTGACTTAAGAGAATGCTCAAAAGGAACTAATCATAATTAAATCTGAAAAGGATTCTCAACTTCTTCCTGGTGTATAACCAGACAGACATTACGTGCTTTTAAATGAGAGATCATGGACATTTATACATCTCTTATATGGTGGAGGACCAAAGATAATGATCGAAATGGAAAAACCTGTGATGTCTCCAGATATTATCAATGATGGTCAAACTAACATTACTTCGCATACAGCTAATACCACCAAAATTTCATTTGAACCTCTAATCGACATAGCAAAGTTAGAAGACAATAATATGGAGGATTCAGAAAAATCTCCATATACAAACACTACTAGAAGATCAAATCCCCAGAAAACTAACTCAATAAAAATACAACCCAAACTCTACGAACTTCCTTATGTAGGTCTGCAAAATCCAAAATATTACTGTTATATGAACTCAGCTCTGCAATGTCTTTTAAGCATTAGAGAATTAAATGATTCATTATTAAAATAACCAAAGTAATAAAATAAGAAATTTACAATGGCTTATCAAGACTTATTAAGGCTTGTACAGAATTCTATTCCTGGATCAGCTATTTCAGTGGAGAAACTCTAAACGATGTGCTTAAATAAATTTAAATACTCACAATAACAAGATGCTCACGAATTCTTGTTATATCTCTTATCTGAAATTTAACAAGAACTAGTTGGAAAGAACAAATATTAAAAGGAAGAGTTTCCAAATGCATAAGAAGCTTGGGATGTTTACAAAACTAGAAACCCTGACATTATAACCAATTTGTTTGCTGGTTAAATAGCCAGTAAATCACATTGTTTAAAATGTAAAGAGATTAGCGAAGGCTTTGATCCAATTTTGGATTTGAATCTTCCCTTATCAAAGTATTACATTCCTAGAGAATTCAAAATATAGGATTGTCTCTAGACCTATTTTAAGGAAGAGTAGATCAATGATGCTTGGAAATGTGATAAATGTCAATTTGTTAATAATTCTGTTCTAAGAAAGACTCAAATCACTTAGACTCCAAAATATCTGATTTTGCATCTTAAACGCTTTACTTAATTCCCTAAGAGCTAAAAGATTACTGATGAAGTAGCTTATCCAGAAATTCTCGATATCAAAGAGTATTTTATCAATTAATCCTTAGGTTTTGTGCAGAGAATGTTGAGTTCACAAAATATGCTTTGAAGGGTGTGATCTCACATATGGGATAATTAAATGGAGGCCATTACGTAGCATACGCTTAAAGATAATACTCTTGGTATCATTTCGATGATAAGATTGTAACTAAAGATAAAAATAACCAACATCTCTCAGACAAGGGTGCTTATATAATTTTTTATGAATAACTATGAAAAGAAGTGATTGTTTAATTTTCCCTACGCATCCTTTACTCATAATACGATCAAAATTAATATAATTTAAAGAATTTATTCTCTTCTCAACCTTTATTACTTGTTAACTCCTGAAAAACTCATAGCTTTCATCATAATTTCTAAATATTGTCCCATATTACTAATTGATTAATCCTCTTTTAGTTTTTTTGTGAATCAGATATATATATACCCCAAATTTAATGTTGATTTTATTGTTGATATCCAAGAATTTATTTTATTCCCACATTGTTTTTTTCCTATAGAGATTTGAAAGAGTTGGTAAGGTTAGAATCTTACTTGACTATATTCCTATACCAAATGGAACATTTAATATCCTCTAGTACATTAAAAGTTTTACAAATATTTTTAATATATATATGTTGTTCCTTTCAGAATTTCAAGTAAAATAAGAAGCAGATGGTGTTTTTACACTAGATTGATGATGAATGTGAGTCTGAAATACTCACAAATCATGAATACTCTTTAAGTAAGATTGTTGTTAATTAACTTTATATAATGATATGTATTATGAAGATTTTTTTATTAAAAATTATCAAATATTTTTTATATTGGTACGAATGAGAGAGTTATTATCATGAAATCTAAATAAATTCCTGTAACAACTAGATGTGTGATATTTCATCAGAAATATACAAATTAAAAGACTGGAAATCTAAGTTTCGTTAATAATATTGATATTTTCAACAAAAATTATGTATTCTTCATATTTTAGTAAAATGGCTTCACATCACTTTGAAATTTTTTCTTTGTCCAAGGCTCACTAAATTCTATTAATTAAATTTTGGGGTTGTAGTAGGTGATTCCTGATTAGAAACAATAAATTTCTTGTCTCTTTTTAAAATAAATTCTTCATCTTTGGTTATATCAATCGACCTACACTATAATATTGGTGTATTATTGTCTGGTATATAAGGGGATTCGATATTTAATTTTTTATTCTGATGAACGTTGGAAAAAGAGGAGCTTTGGAATCTACATTTGTTTTGCTGTTAAGCCTGACTTTATTTTTAACTAACACATCCCATAAGTAATAAATGATTTTTATTTATTTATATATCTGTATAAATGAAACGAATTAGATTTATAGAACTAATTATTCATCAATTTAGGATTATCTTAATTATACTGAGAAACACACAAATATATATATAATTATTAAAATAAAATTAGCAATATTATTATTAATATTAGAATTCTGACATGAATTCAAAAGTTCACTAATGTTTGCAGTAAATCTTTATTCTCAAAACCAAATATACCGTTTCATTTTTCTTGACATTATAATCTATATTTTTACTCCGAATACTTTCTAACTTCTTCCGAAATTTGGATGAATAATTTTATAAATTATATTATACTCAATTCGAAATTCATATGAGATATCTAAGTATATTACTGCTTCTTCTTTATTTAACGCCCGAGGTTCTGAAGGAGTTAGCTCACCATAATTGATTATATATTTAGTTTTAAATGATTCAAATTTAAGGATTATCATAATTTATACGAACATAAATCAACACAAAAGTAAAGCATTCAAGTATTTCTAGTCAGAAAGGACTCATGATTAGTTAGAGGGCTTTTCTAACTGGCTCTTCTTTAAAGTATAGGATTTTTATTGATTCTAAATTATTTAANCCTATACCAAATGGAACATTTAATATCCTCTAGTACATTAAAAGTTTTACAAATATTTTTAATATATATATGTTGTTCCTTTCAGAATTTCAAGTAAAATAAGAAGCAGATGGTGTTTTTACACTAGATTGATGATGAATGTGAGTCTGAAATACTCACAAATCATGAATACTCTTTAAGTAAGATTGTTGTTAATTAACTTTATATAATGATATGTATTATGAAGATTTTTTTATTAAAAATTATCAAATATTTTTTATATTGGTACGAATGAGAGAGTTATTATCATGAAATCTAAATAAATTCCTGTAACAACTAGATGTGTGATATTTCATCAGAAATATACAAATTAAAAGACTGGAAATCTAAGTTTCGTTAATAATATTGATATTTTCAACAAAAATTATGTATTCTTCATATTTTAGTAAAATGGCTTCACATCACTTTGAAATTTTTTCTTTGTCCAAGGCTCACTAAATTCTATTAATTAAATTTTGGGGTTGTAGTAGGTGATTCCTGATTAGAAACAATAAATTTCTTGTCTCTTTTTAAAATAAATTCTTCATCTTTGGTTATATCAATCGACCTACACTATAATATTGGTGTATTATTGTCTGGTATATAAGGGGATTCGATATTTAATTTTTTATTCTGATGAACGTTGGAAAAAGAGGAGCTTTGGAATCTACATTTGTTTTGCTGTTAAGCCTGACTTTATTTTTAACTAACACATCCCATAAGTAATAAATGATTTTTATTTATTTATATATCTGTATAAATGAAACGAATTAGATTTATAGAACTAATTATTCATCAATTTAGGATTATCTTAATTATACTGAGAAACACACAAATATATATATAATTATTAAAATAAAATTAGCAATATTATTATTAATATTAGAATTCTGACATGAATTCAAAAGTTCACTAATGTTTGCAGTAAATCTTTATTCTCAAAACCAAATATACCGTTTCATTTTTCTTGACATTATAATCTATATTTTTACTCCGAATACTTTCTAACTTCTTCCGAAATTTGGATGAATAATTTTATAAATTATATTATACTCAATTCGAAATTCATATGAGATATCTAAGTATATTACTGCTTCTTCTTTATTTAACGCCCGAGGTTCTGAAGGAGTTAGCTCACCATAATTGATTATATATTTAGTTTTAAATGATTCAAATTTAAGGATTATCATAATTTATACGAACATAAATCAACACAAAAGTAAAGCATTCAAGTATTTCTAGTCAGAAAGGACTCATGATTAGTTAGAGGGCTTTTCTAACTGGCTCTTCTTTAAAGTATAGGATTTTTATTGATTCTAAATTATTTAAGTTCACCCTTTGAATCTTCGCTTTTTGACTTAAATTGATTCTCATTTGTGTCTAAAACATTCTTTGATTATTATTTATTAGCAGAACAACCCATAAGAAGTAAAATCTTTTTAAATTAATATAAATATATTTCAAATACTTAGTACATATAATCAAAGCTTTATAAACTATGAAAATTTTAAGATTTCAATTAATAATTATTGATGAGGCTTTAAATGAATTTTTTTATATTTTATTATTTAATTTAATATTGATTTTTTTAATAGGTTGTAATTCATCATAGTCAACCTAAGATCAATTACGTATAATGAGAAAACAAAAAAGAAGCTTAAATCAATCTACCAGATTACAAGATACTTTGTTAAATCACCGCAATCACCTTAATAAATAACAATACTAAACTAGAACTGGTTTTGCTTCTTTGAAGAATACCCCATCACCTAAATCCTAAAATTATTTTATGATGAGAAGATTGAGAATTCGTTCAATACCTGAATTGATTTTCTCTCTATCTATATTCCTAAGATAAGTTCTGAATAAGAAATTCGAATATTAATTTTTGTCGAGTGAGAATATTTAGTTTCTTATCTTTATATATTTCAATGATATCGAATATGTATTAGTAATAAAAAGAAGATAGATTTCATTAAATTCACAATTTTCTTGGGCTGGTCATCAAAGACTGGGTTTTTCTTTATTTTGAAGACTTTTTGATATATTCAAAAGGGTTCGATACGATGCTATGCTTTCTATTGATGAAATTTTGGAGTTCATCAGCATTGATCATCCCTTGAAGTCTTCTGCTGATTTGGGTTTCTTGAGCCATAAAATTACCTGTTTCTTCAAAATCACATTTTTTCCCATTAATCAAGCCTTGATTTTCATCAACAATAATAGCACTTTCATAAAATTTTTAGGTAGTTTGAATATGTTTGTTTTATTAACTCATCGTTTTCTATACGTTGCACCCCATGGTTGGATTTAATGTTAAATAATTAATGTTTGATACTTAAATAATTCTTATTTATTATCTCAAATTAAAAATTCGCTTGTGTATACACAAAACGCTAACAGCTCGTAATAAAATTCAAAACATTTGAAAGGATTTTTTAAAATCTTATAGTTTTAAAATATAAGTTATGCAGCTATAAATGAAAATATATTAATTTAATAATTAATTTAAGTATTTAATTCTTATCACCCTAACTTCTTTTAACTTGTCTATGTTTTCATTGTTTTCAATCTTTTTTATTTTAATAGTTAAATCATGTTCGATAGATGATAGTCATTTAAATACTTTGAAAGATATATTTCTCTGATATATCTAAATTTGTTAGCCCTTAAGATATCACCTAATAAATACTTGTATATGGTAATTTCATAATTATTGTGAGGCAAGTAGTAGTCAAATGAATACATAGCGTCAAAATTATTTAATCCAAAAGAATTGTTAGCGTAGAGAGGTAACTTAATAAATTAGTAATGAATACGTCCGCGTTGCTGAAAGGCTAGAAACAAGAGGGGATTATAGAAATCTTTGTTCCAGTTTTAGTAGATATTTTTCTAATTGAATGTCTTTGCTATTAGCTTCTACTATCATCAAGATTAGTAATATCAACTTAACGAGTTTATTAGACTAATTTTTGGGGGAAAGAGAATGTAGACTTTCTATGCTATTTAGAGGATGGCATTCCTGACTTTATTTAACTATTAGAGGGGATTGGACTGTAAGTTAATGATCTGGAAGAATTTTAACGTTAACTTATTACATCTGGATATTTATATGTACTATTCCTTGAACTTTATTATCGAATAGAACCAGATCCTAGACGAGATAAACGTGGATGACTTTAATTTTACTTTTGGAGTTCATTCATTTGAGTTTCAAAATTGTAATTGAATGTTAATTTTGGATCATTATTCTTCCTCTCAAATTTATCTTGAGGTGAATCAACAACATTCTCATCTTCTACTGATTTAGACTTAGGTTCTGAGATACTGTCAGAGTCTTCATTTTCCAGAATGATATTTAAAGATTTCTAAGTTAGATCTTTATTGGAAGCAGCTAAGCTTTGAGATCCAAATCCAGCAGTTGCAAAGGTTCTCTTTTGTTGATCAGTTCTTATCAAGGATTCGAATTCATCATACTTTTTATCCTGGTTGCTATTTATGATTTGAAATTCATTATCTTAATCAAAATTAGAGCTTGTAATGATGTTTATGCATACAATAAATTGTCGGTGTTGTTGGGCATGGATTATTATTCATAACCAGATTGTTACTTCATGAAAGAAGTGGATTTGACAACAGATCTGTCTCTGCTGAATTTCGTTAAGCTTCGAGCACTTACGTTAGAATCACGATAAGCAAAATCATCATATGGCAATTGAGATTGGCTAAGTTATGATATTTGCAATTGATCTGAGAATAATTTTAAAAATGCCACTTCGTATTGAGATGCACATTGATAAAAATTTAATGCTCTCATATCCTTAGAGTATCTTCGCTTATCTATTTAATTAGAGATGTAAAAATTACATTCTTTTCTATTCTATTTATGCGGAAAAATAAACTTCTATAAAATTAAACTTTAATTTGGTTTATAAGTCAACAAAGGACATCTTGTGATTATGTGATCATCCTTTTAGCAACATGCACATTTTATTGGTAAACCTAGATTGAATAATATTTTATCTCTCTATTGATAAAACAATTACTAAACAATATTATCAGTTTAATTGTACTTTGTCATTGAAGCTTAAACAGGATAAGAATGTTGTTCGTTCTATTTTCAAAAGTCTAGTTACTCCATCACTTTGAATGGTGAAATTGCGTGGTTTTTGAGTATAAAATCCTATTTCTCCAAATGAGTTGTTTTATTTCAAAATCTGTAACTTTATATTAGTCCTCGATTTCAGACACACTGAACCCTCTAGGATGAAATACAATGAGCAATCATCCAAGGTGCCCTCTTAAATAATAGTTTAATTAGGTTAACATACAATTTCATAACTATTATCAATGATTGATTAAATCGTATTTTAATTAAAGTATTTAAAATACTAGTTTATTAATTTGGATCTTTGACTGATTTTGTATTCCTAAGTTAAATTGCTAGACAATTGTGAAATAAATCTATCATGAAGGTATTTTGGTTAATAAAGTAAATGGCTGATTATTTTTTGTTTGAGAGTCGAGTCTAGGTTGTTTTGAGTCATGAATTCACTCAATTACTAATCTAATTCGTCATCCCTAAAAATTGTAAGCATTTTGGCTAAGAAGTAGGAGAAAAAAATGAGCGAGAACAATGAGATGACACTATATACAATAATGTTTTGTTGATCACTCATTTCAATGACGACCGAATTGAAAGTCATTACGCTGAGTACGTAATATAAGGAATGCAAATACTATTCTAAGAAGGAGTCCTCATTTTCAATGAGCAGGTTAAATAGCCAAAAACATGTTATAACGTGGATCAGTAAAATTGCTTTTATTATCAAAATACTTAAAAGCGAGAAAGAGTTAAAAATATTATATTCACTATTACTATTTAATAGAGATATTTACAATTAGACTTGCTTTTAAATTTATATCAGTCTCGGGATGTTACTCAGCAGATTGATCACTATGCTCCAGTAGTTCTGTGAAAATAACAAGGAACCAAGAAAAATCTATATTTGAAATATATAAATGTTTTACTAGGTCAAAAACCAATTATGATTTACAATAATGATTTATGATTGCTATTAGTTGAGTTTCGATCTCTCCATTAATTGCAAATGTTGAGATCGAGTTCAAGAGGGCATCTATGACTTTGAGTATAAGAAATAACACAAAGAAGGGTTCTATCTAAAGAGGGATGATGATAATCTGAACGATCATTGTCAATAGATAAAAGAGACTCCAATATTTAAGTAATTTTGAGGTAGGCTACAATACAACTAAAACTTTCGACATTTAATACTTTATAGAGTATTGTCTGATTAAGCCAAGTCAAAAATATACGAAAATTTCTTTGCTTTCTCATTCAATTTAAATTTGCTTTGGAAAATTTCTGCGTATTTGGTTTTGAGTTTCTTGTTGTTTTAAAAAGCTTTAGTGGTCTCTAGAGTTTTTTGGTTGAATGGCAATAATTGAATGCTATTTGACTCTTAGATGAAGGAAATCCTTTCATTGGAGATCTGAGAAATGTAAATAAGAAGGAAACCTCATGATTGACATTAAAGGGGGATAAACACTATTTAGATCGATCTAATGTCTTTACAGTTGGGTCTTTAACTGAGTAATCGTCATCTGGTTGTCCTGGATGGTTTATTATAAATGGCGTATATTAAAATGGGCCTAATTATGACATACACTCTACCTCTCATTTAATCATAATTATTTTATACTGGTTCTGTTTTTGTAGAGTTAACTTATTAATTTATCATAAAGATAGAAGATAATTAATTAAATAATTAATTAATAATGTTAGTGGATTATAGTGATGATGAGCAGGAGATCATAGACAACAAGCCAAAGTCAATATTGGTGAATCCTGAGGTTGATTGTTCACATCTGGTAAAGAAGAAGGAGGAGGAGAAAGCTCTTGAATTATCGAAAACATACAATTTCCTGGGATAGAAAAAGAATCATTTAACAGGCAATGTAGAATCAATATATTACAATGACGCAGTGTTTGAAGAACAGTTTCATAAATTCAATGTATATGGTTTTGCAGTTGATCCCAATGGTATAATGATGAATTTAAATTAGAAAGGAATAGAAGGGTGATAGCATGTAATTAAAAATAAGAGCAATTATCTAGTTTAATGAAAGAAGGTTATGATGTAGATGCAGCAGATCCACTTTTTAGTAAAAATGTACTTGCAGGTATGCACAAAGAAGATAAATTGAAATAACAAGAATTAAAATCTAATAGAGTGAAGGCTAATGATCCATCCAAAGGAGAGTTTATGGGACCTTGGGCAGGACAACAGGATGAATAATTTGAAAACATACAAATGAATGAAGAATAATAATAATTGTTAGATCAATTGGAAGAATAAAGAAAATAAAAAATAGACGAATCAAAAAAATAAGAAGAAAACTTTGTGCCTTACATGGAATAACATGTAAGTTAAACAGAGTAATTTGGAGGTAGATAATTTATTGCACCTCCACCTGAATTAAAATATGTTGATCACACATGTTATATCCCAAAAAGATGCATCTAAACATTTCATGGTCACACAAAAGGTGTTCAAGTGTGCAAATTCTTTCCCAAATTTGGTCATCTTATGTTGAGTGGTAGTTTAGATAATAAAATTAAGATGTGGGATATAATTGGTAACAAATAATGTGTTAGAACATATTATGGTCATTAAGGAGCTTTAAGAGATCTCAATTTCTCCAATGATGGTAGAACATTTTTGTCTGCTGCTTATGATAAAAAGATCCTCGTTTGGGATACAGAATATGGCAAAGTCACTCAAACTATCAATCTATAACATTTCCCTTATTGTGTAAGACTAAATCCAGATCCAGCTAAACAACATTCCTTTTTGTTAGGATCATCAGATAAAAGAATAAAATAGTTTGATATCAGAAGTGGACAATAAACATTAGTTTATGATGAACATTTACAAGCCATCAACACTATCACATATTTTAATTAAAATAGAAAATTTGTTTCCAGTTCGGATGATAAAAAACTATTCATCTGGGAATTTGGCATCCCTGTTGTTATAAAACATATCAGTGATCCTGAAATGCATGCAGTAACTGCTACTGCTGTTAATCCATCTGGACTTAATTGGGTTGGATAGTAAAGTAATAATTTGGTACCTATTTATCACTATAATTAAGATCATTGTTTATGATACTAAGGCTGGAAATTTCAGGATGAATAGAAAGAAGAACTTTAAAGGACATGTGTCTGCAGGATATGCATGCGGAGTTACATTTTCAGCAGATGGATAATTCTTAGCCTCTGGTGACTCAGAAGGTAGAGTCTTCTTTTGGGATTGGAAAACAGCTAAAAGTTATAGAACTATCTAAGTAATTATATCATTTATATTAATTAGGCTCACGATAATGTATGCATCGGTGTTGAATGGCATCCTATTGAACCAAGCAAAGTTGTTACTTGTGGATGGGATGGAGTACTTAAATTATGGGATTGATTATCAGTTTTAAATTAATGTTGATATATAGTCACCAATAATATAATTTTGTTTCTATCAATTCGAAAATTCTCAGCATATCATGAATTATCAAATTCTTCATATAATATTAAATTTCCACAAGTCAATCATTTAGATAAATATAATTGCTAATATTCCTTTGATTAATCAAATTATAACTGTTTAAATACTTAAATATTTTTGCTAGAAATATTTTCAACTGAAATGTTTCTTCTAATAGAATTTATTACATACTAATTATCAAAATAAATTAGATATATAATCCAATATCATATATAATATTATAATCAATAAATTCTCATAAAATATTTTGTGAATTATTGGTATATTGATAGGTTATCATTCTCCAATAATGTGAATTAATTGATTTTGCAATCAATATATCCTATTTTATTAATATTAATATTTTTGATTTCTAAAATACTTAAAATTAATAAATATCTGTGTATGGAAAATAATATTTGGCTCATGATTTGATATCTATAAAAATAAACATATTATTAATTGATTTTATATAAAATTTAGTCTTATAATTAAAATTTATTGTTATTTGTCAATGAAACAACTTAAAATTTAGGCAAAAAGGAGTTACCATGATCATCTAAAATAAAAATCTCATTGCAGATCATTTACATTGTAATCAGAATAGGATTCAATATTGGAAAAGTTAAATACTTCAACTGTTAAAATATTTAATGAGATTCAATAAGTAAAATCTAAAGTTGTAGAGATGGATTCTGATTTTCAAATCAGGTAGAAATCTTATGAACTAGAGAAACAAAAAAAGATTTTGTAAATGAAGGAGGAACAATTAAAGAATGAATAAATGTAAAGTAAAGGTAAGCCAAAAATAAACAAGACTCAACAAATCTAGGAAATGATCAATAATTATATGGAAGCATCCAAAAATAGCAAATTTGGTGATTTATTACTAAATAAAGAAAAAGCAATCTAAAAAGAATCAACTTCAATAATGGGACAAGATAATATCAGTAATTATGAGAGCAACGATCCTGCAAGAATAGCTACATAGACATTAGAAAGCACTAAAATGTATAATGAGTAAAGTGTTACAAGGAAATCCAATTCCTACATTCCGATTCATGAAAGAGTCAAATTTATTGTGTAAACAAAAAATGACAAAATTCAAGAGTAGAAACAATAGTAAGAATAAGAAATAGAAGAATATTACTCAAGTCTGCCATTTCAACCTTTAAGCACAAAATCATAGAATATTAAATTTACTCCATAGTATACTGATGAATTTGTAAATAATTAGTTGAAGTGGAATCAATAAAGGGATTAATGGATCTATGAATAATAACTGAAGAAAGAGAATGATACACCCAAGTACTCCTATAGGCCGACAATAAGTCCATGGCCTGCGAAATAGTCAAGTGTTTAGAGGAAGCATTCGAAATCAATTAATTTATCATTCTTTTTGTCCACTGCCAATAAAACTGAAGCTTCGCCAAAAAAAAATGAAAAACAATCGTTTGTTTTCCAAACTGATTTAAGGATAGCAAAAAGAAAGGAAAAAGAATCAAAGAAATTATAAAAAAGTGAATAAAAAGGTTTCAAAAATATTCTTTGATTTAATATTAATTTTATAATTACTTTTAATTTGTGATAATAATTTATTGTTCATTATTTTAATATATAGCTTCAATTTTATTATTTTTCATTATCTGTACTGCTTTTATTAATTCATAAGAGATGGTGTTTAATATTTCTAATATGATGTCTATTCAATATAACAATTAATTTAATCAATAAAAATTTTATTTCAAGTAATTAATTATTCACTTAATGCTTAGATATTTCAATTATAATTATTAATGATTAACTCATTATTAATTTGAGTTGTAATTCAATTGATTTTCAATCATCGCTCTAGTTTTTACTATCTCAATTGTTAAATACGTCATCGTACTTAATTAATTATCCTATTTTCTATATTTAATCTGTATTTTTTTCTTATCGTCCTTCCTTGGAAATGCTAGTAATTCAAATTGAAGTCGGGACCCTTTATAATCTTCATTATTGGCATGATACTTCGTTTTTAGATGATTGAAATGTTAATACAAAATATTTTTTAGTTTTAAAAGAGCCAAGAAGAAGAATATATAAATTACACAGAATGAAGTCACTAATTAATAATCTAACTATATATAAATATTTAATAGAGGAGTCATTATGGATTTACTATTATGAATGCGTGAGAGTGAAAGTAAGAGTTGTTCAAATTTATTTTTTCTAAGAATCTTCTTTACATTATAGAGCTATGACCTAATGTATTATATATATGATTACCTATTCCTTGCATTAGCATTACACCTCTTTTTAAGTTTAATTTGTATGGTGCATGAGGTAGAGCACTCGCAATGTAGTTACTCTTGTTTATATAGTGTCTATATGGTAGGTCTAATTGTTCTCTTTAATTTTATCTATTTAATTATTCTGCGTGATCGTGTACAAATGACAGTTTCTTATTTTTAGAATGTATATTATGACAAAGGATGAGTCCCATTGTAGTATTGGCTAAAATTATCTTATTTAATTGAATCATTTTATAGAGGCATTTTATATGGTTATAAATATAAGTTTAATAAAAATATAGGAAAATAAATCTTATTTAAATTAATTAGATTTATAATTAAACATAGCTATTCAAATTAAATTGAAAAGAGACCCAAACCCGATCTTTTTTGGAATATCTATCTTCTCTATAGTTTATGATCAGTAGCTGATTATTTTTCTAGAAATAATCGTGAATTTGAAGAAAAAAACCAAGAAAGACCCTTTAAATGCTAATTATATATTTCTTAAATAATGGGTCAACGTCCTTCTTCCCTCAATTTTACGATATCTAGTATCACACAATATTGGTGAGCAACAATTGAATTGAATTATTCCCAAAAGCATTCATCTACGACTTCTTTAAAGAATCAAACATTAATAGAAAATTCATACCTCTCTAGGGAAATGCAATCTCTTCGATTCATTGCTTTAAATGAATAACCCAAAATATTGTCTTTTAAATATTTGATAAAAAAAAAAGCCTTAGTATTATTCTTGAATTAATATAAAAGTATTATCCAAAATATGGCTAATTACAAAAACATAAATTCATCTATAGAGATCCAATTGAGCTATAGTTGAGAATTTTTTCATAAGGAAAAAGAATTCAGAATGTTTAAATTTTGTTAACCGTCATCACCAATACAAATTATCAATTTGCATCCTCATTTGCAGGTGTTTCTAAGGGGGGAATTGAATTTCGAAGTCTCTTCATCCAGATTACTAATGCTCCGCCACTAACAGATTGCATTGCTGAAAAAATATATTCAATAAGAAATTCTTAAGTAATTCTTAAGTAATTCTTATTATAATAATTATTAATAACTTACTAATTTATATATATTGCATAGTAATTTAAAATAAATAACAAATAGAGCTAGCTTAACATTGTGATTGAATGCTTGATTTTCTATACTCATGCAAAATCACTTTTAGAATACCATTTTATATGATATTTTATAAGTTATACATAAATAAAAATAATTAAATGTTAAATCCGACAAATGCAAATAAGCTTTCAACATCCTCTTAGGCTCTTTCTAAGTCTGTTCATTTTTCTCTTGGTAATTCACAAGCCCCTGTGAATTTTAGTGATGTTAAAGCAGTTTCTGGGATTTCAAAATCAGCTATTGATCATCCATAGGTGGGATAAGTTACAGGAATTGATTGTGGGATTCACATGAAACAATTAAAAGGATTTTGTATAGAATAGCAATGTGTTCATTAAAGAAGAAAGTTATGTGTTGGGTATTTGATAAAATAAAAATGTTAGATGTTTGTGGGCACACACATGTGTTCATAAGGTATAAGTACCTGAATTTGTTAAACTATTGACAGATAAATTAGCAATTGCTGAATACGACTTTTTTGATAAAGTATTGAAGGTTGTTAAAAAAGATCATTTATAAAACGAAATAGATGAAATGTTCTTGAAAATAAAAATGGATTTTGATAATCATCTTAATGATTTATATTCCTAGTTTATGTATTGGACAAAGCATGGAATGGGAGAAGTAATCAAGAAGGGATTTTTGGCTGATTTCCTATTGGATGATAATGTGATTGAGCAAATAATGGATTTAGTATTGAAGGGGAGAGGTAAAACCTTAATTGAATAAATTAGCAATGGAAGCTGAAGATGAAACCATTCAAACATGTGTGGAGTTGATTAATGCAGATCCCTAAGAAATTAAATTGTTACCATAACAATTATAAACTACTCTTGTTGAATGTGAAGAAGTTATTCGTTCAACTTTGCATCAATTAGAACAAAGCCTAATAACATTTAAAAACACTCCTTTTGATTTTAAGAATGTGAAGGTAAAAATTATGAAGAATAAATATATTAGGAAGGTGTTGAAATACCAAGATTAAGGATTCCAGGAACTTAAGGAAATATTTAGGGTGGCGGAGGTTTTGGATTTGGAGGTGGATTTAATTAAATCCCACAAACCAATTTTATTGGAACAGCAAGTCAATTACCAAAAACTAGTGTACCACCTACAACCACTCATTTTCAAAATAGATTTGCTTCTGGTTTAGCATCATAATTAAATGCCAAATTATTTATTGATGCTAGAGACTTGCATTAAAGTTAAGTTTGGGCTGTTTGTAAGATTAGTCCTTAAGTGATTGCAACAGGAGATTGGCAAGGAAACATTAAGATAATTGGATTGACCATGGAAGGATAATATTAGTTCATGCAATCTTTGAATCATGGAAAGAATGTTTATTCTTTATTATTATCAGATACAACAACTCTTATTTCTGCTGGTTAAAATCAAAAGGATGAATGGACAATTAAGATTTGGGATTTAGAGAGATCATAATTGATTAAGGAATTGAAAGGGCATATAAATTATATATTTTCATTGACTCAGCCTGTTACGGGGACATTGGTATCATGTTCATATGATGAAACCGTGAGAGTTTGGAATTTATAGAATGGATAATGCATAAAGGTGTTCAAGGAATTCAAGACATCTTTTAATGATTTGCTATCCTGGAATCAAGAAGAAGTTATATGTTGTTCTGATGACAAAGCCATAAGATTATTGAATATTTAGACTGGGGAAATGAAAATGTAATTGTTTGATTCCTGCTTTGTAAATGGAATAGCTAGAGTATCTTAAAATGAAATAGCTGTTGGTAATTTTAAAGGAGAAATCTTGATCATCAATGTGACTGAGTAAAAGATAGTGAGAAGAATGGGTTCACATAAGAGTTTTGTTTGGAGAATTAAAGTATTGAATTGTATGATTGTAGATGATAGATAAAGATTTGATTGCTTCTGCTTCGTTTGATAAAACAATTAAGATTTGGGAGTGGCAAAGTGGACAATTAGTTGCAAGTTTAGAAGGACATTAAGATATTGTTAGATCTATTGAACTTATAGAAGAAGTTGGATTTTTAGTTAGTACTAGTGATGATAAATCTATAAAAGTTTGGAGATTAATTTGAATATATTAAAATAAACAATAATATATTTTATATTTAAATATATGTATATATATAACTTATCAACTAAAGATATTTTCTAAAAATGTCTTCTTTTTCTCTTATGGTTATTTCTAAATTTATACTGGCTTAGATGGTGGAGACTAAGACATAAATTATATGTAAGTACAAATCTTCTTGGTTAACTGACAGGTCTTCCTTAATAAGGAGCATGATTGTAAACTGGGGCAACTCTTGATGGAACATAGCTGGGTTGAACATATGATTAGGCAACATATGGTTATGCAACTGGAGCAACATATTATGGAACAGGTTAAACGTATTAAGGAACTTATTGCACAACAGATTAAACAACTGGTTAAACGACGGGTTGAGCAACAACTTATTACTAGTGAACCACTTATCTCTCAACTGGATAATATTCCACTCTATCTTGATATCTATCCACAGGAACATATTCTATTGTTGTTATTTCATATTTATACCTGTAACCTTATCATAAAATACTTAAGGGATATATTCTGTCTAGTATTCCACAGCTTAATATTCTGTGACGTATTTCTCTCTTGGCACTTAGATTCTTTGTCTCACCTCTTCATATTCAATAACAGATTTCTCATAAGGGATATATCTATAAATATTTGAATTTTGATTCTTACTCAATTCTGCTTTCACCCTTTATCACTTATTAAGCTGGTTGGACAGCAACTGGTTGCACTGCCACTGGTTATACAAGGGGTTGGACTGCCACTGGTTAAGGAACGTATTAGACAGGAGCTACAACGGATTATTAAACAGGGTAGTATGATGGACTAGCGAATTGCACAGGTGGAGCATATGTTCTTGGTGGCGAATATGCAACTGGCTAATGAGGGGCATTTTAAACTGGTTGAGGAGGTCTTTAAGAGGCAGGGTGATTGCTCATATTTTTGAATATTAATATTAATTTTTCAAATGCAATCGTTAAGCATTTATAACTATGCTTTATTAATACATATTATTTTGGATTTATTAACTACATATTTCATTATTTTTATTTGTAACAATTAATCACCATTTTAATATTCAATTTGATTACAACTACATTTAAATAATAACTAGTTATTAAAGACTTTTCAATTTTCATTGAATGTCTCAGAAAGTCTCAATGAAGGTTTCAAAAAATATAAACAAAATTATCACTAATTATTATTTATTAAGCTTAATGCATCGAATTTGAAATTCTAACTAAATTTGGTATTTATGTAAGGAATGATTTTTAATAAGTATTAATGAAGAGTTTGATACATATTCCTCAATTGATTTTGATAAAATCATTAAAGTTACACCAGATTTTCTGAATATAATGAAATCAAAAACTTTTTAAATATAAATAGCATTCATATTATTTGATAAATTAAAAAATAGACTTTATGCATAGATTATTAAATCGTACTAGAATATAGAAATGCAATAATAAAATATTAGTTTGATTAGAATAACTAATGGGGTGAGTTACGAATTGCTCTTTGAGGAGTAGTAGCATCTGGCAAAAAATCCTTATTTAATTATTAGACTTTTAATAAGTAACCTGTAAGAGCTGGAGGAGATTCTGTTACTAAATCTGTAGTTGTGGGTGTTTCTTATTTGGCTTAGCATTTGGAGATTATTGATACCCCATGCTTTGAGGCTGATGAAGATGAAATACTGCATGCAGTTGGAGTAATTGCTGCACTTACTTTTGGTGAGATGCAGGTAATATTAAACGAAAATATAGGAGAGATTTAATATAAACTCAGTCCTTTTTATTCAAAAAAGATGATCCTAAATTTATTACTCTTTAATTTAGATAAATTAAAGAACCAAGAAAGACATCAATAAAATTAACAGATACAGAAACATAGTATCAATCTGATCTAATGAGGTTCAAAGGTGAAAACCAAAGCAAACCAGAAGAGCATAAAATTTATAGAAAATTTAGAAAAATTGCAATTATTTTTAAAAATACATCAATAATAATATAGAGTTGAATAAATCTAATGTAATTGATCTCTTGCATAGTATATAATTAGAGATTATTATCGATCTAGTGTAAATAAGTTGAGAAATAGTCAATTGAGGATTTCGATACATAACATGGAAATGAATTGAATAGATTTTATAACAATATTTAAACGAATATTAGACATTTACACCATATTTATTAAAAGAAAGAAATTTTAAAGGATATTGAAAGAGTATAGAAGATTATAATGGTTTAGGAGAAATAACTACTTATTTTATATTATTGTTTTAATTTTTTAAAAAGAAAACCTTATGATTATTTCATAAATCTATATATAATTTAATATACTTTTCTTAAAGCTTAAATGGGAATTAAATACAATTTATGGGGATTGAAAAAATTCTTGGTATTATAGGAAAGGATGATTATTAATGGCTAAGTCCTTAGACAATGATTTAATAAAAACCAATAGAACTATAATTAAAATAGATAATTTGGATATGGAGCAAGATTTTTTGATCTAAATAACACATTCTCTATGGAGTTGAGTTAGAAGAATTATAATTAAATTGACTATTTTATTTCATTACACTATACCAGGAATTAATCAATTTCTTTCTGATTAATAACAATGATAAAGAGATGAAAGCAAATTTTTAGAAGAACACTTTAGAGATCAGTTAAATAATGCTGTAGAGGAATAATTTGATCTATCCATCAGGCTCTAAAGAGTGGAGTTCTAATGATTATTAATAAACATTTAAACATAATAGGAATATTAACAAATAATGTATTACATACCATATAATTTGTCATTGATCAACAGTTCCAAAATATCTATCTCCAAAGTCTCCAACTCCTGGGAAACGATGATCTTGAATAGTATTGAGTGCATAATCAACTCCAGCTGTAATTACTTTAACTTTAGGGAATTAATGCAAGACTTTAGAGAGTCCTTTTTCGCATGAAACAATGTTCACGGCAGCAATATTTTCTTAATTGACTCCATTAGATTGAAGTGCTTTTATTGCTGTGCTGATTCTTCCCCCCGTAGTAATCATAGCATCTGTGAGGATTACCTAATTTAGAATATTAATACTTATTTTTGATCTATATCTTCAGGAAATTTGCAATAAATTAACTAGGGATCCTTAGTTTATGGATGTTCTTAAACTAAAATAAATCCAACAGAAGCTCCTGGAAGCACCTTGAGAGCCTCGCTTAAGAAGGCGTTTCCTGATCTTACCATCACAACAACACAAAATTGTTTGTTTTCAAATTAAATCTCTTGGGCTGGAGTTTATGCTTGCAATCCTTCTTGAGGGGACAGTTTCTNTTACTCTTTAATTTAGATAAATTAAAGAACCAAGAAAGACATCAATAAAATTAACAGATACAGAAACATAGTATCAATCTGATCTAATGAGGTTCAAAGGTGAAAACCAAAGCAAACCAGAAGAGCATAAAATTTATAGAAAATTTAGAAAAATTGCAATTATTTTTAAAAATACATCAATAATAATATAGAGTTGAATAAATCTAATGTAATTGATCTCTTGCATAGTATATAATTAGAGATTATTATCGATCTAGTGTAAATAAGTTGAGAAATAGTCAATTGAGGATTTCGATACATAACATGGAAATGAATTGAATAGATTTTATAACAATATTTAAACGAATATTAGACATTTACACCATATTTATTAAAAGAAAGAAATTTTAAAGGATATTGAAAGAGTATAGAAGATTATAATGGTTTAGGAGAAATAACTACTTATTTTATATTATTGTTTTAATTTTTTAAAAAGAAAACCTTATGATTATTTCATAAATCTATATATAATTTAATATACTTTTCTTAAAGCTTAAATGGGAATTAAATACAATTTATGGGGATTGAAAAAATTCTTGGTATTATAGGAAAGGATGATTATTAATGGCTAAGTCCTTAGACAATGATTTAATAAAAACCAATAGAACTATAATTAAAATAGATAATTTGGATATGGAGCAAGATTTTTTGATCTAAATAACACATTCTCTATGGAGTTGAGTTAGAAGAATTATAATTAAATTGACTATTTTATTTCATTACACTATACCAGGAATTAATCAATTTCTTTCTGATTAATAACAATGATAAAGAGATGAAAGCAAATTTTTAGAAGAACACTTTAGAGATCAGTTAAATAATGCTGTAGAGGAATAATTTGATCTATCCATCAGGCTCTAAAGAGTGGAGTTCTAATGATTATTAATAAACATTTAAACATAATAGGAATATTAACAAATAATGTATTACATACCATATAATTTGTCATTGATCAACAGTTCCAAAATATCTATCTCCAAAGTCTCCAACTCCTGGGAAACGATGATCTTGAATAGTATTGAGTGCATAATCAACTCCAGCTGTAATTACTTTAACTTTAGGGAATTAATGCAAGACTTTAGAGAGTCCTTTTTCGCATGAAACAATGTTCACGGCAGCAATATTTTCTTAATTGACTCCATTAGATTGAAGTGCTTTTATTGCTGTGCTGATTCTTCCCCCCGTAGTAATCATAGCATCTGTGAGGATTACCTAATTTAGAATATTAATACTTATTTTTGATCTATATCTTCAGGAAATTTGCAATAAATTAACTAGGGATCCTTAGTTTATGGATGTTCTTAAACTAAAATAAATCCAACAGAAGCTCCTGGAAGCACCTTGAGAGCCTCGCTTAAGAAGGCGTTTCCTGATCTTACCATCACAACAACACAAAATTGTTTGTTTTCAAATTAAATCTCTTGGGCTGGAGTTTATGCTTGCAATCCTTCTTGAGGGGACAGTTTCTTGCTGTGTTCGGATATTGCTTTTTCCATAAGCAATCTAATCAATCTGTCAGAATACAATCTGAAGTCCTAATTAGATTTGGGCTCATATTTACTTTGGTTTGAGTAGTTTGATTACGAATCACACCTAATAAGTGTTCAACTTAGAATTTGTCCAACACATAGAGACTAGGAAATCTAAGATGAAATTATTATAATTCTGAGTGTGAAATAAAAGAGAAATATGGTGCAGCGCATTAAAATCGTTTCTGTTGTTAGGCAATCAGAGTGAATCCAATGAGCCCTAGGAATCCAGTTTCGAATATCTTAAGAAGTCTTGAATTCATTCTTTAATAATTTATATTAATAATAACAATTGTGATTCAAACAAATTTATGATGACTCTATTGTAGTTGTTTAAGTTAAATTGCATATTAAAGTGGAATCAGAAATAATAAAGAAATAAAATTCAAATGTGAATGATTTAATCTTTAAAGACTTATTAAAGAGTAATAATATTAATTTAAAATTGAATATTTGTATTTATTTAACATACAATATTTAGATCAGAGTTTGTCCAAATATTCATTAAGGTCTGGCAATTAGACCTTGATACCCTTTCTCTTTCTGATGGATAAGACTAAATCATTAACCTAAATGATTAATATAAAATAATACTTTGCTTCCAGCTTCAAGTGGGTTACCATTGACAATGGCCCAGTGATCAAAGACACATTGAGGGAAGGCTTGTCCTTAGGTCATACCTCTTAAATGGGCAGTGAAACCGAATGATTCAGCGACTGGTAAATGAGCTCTAACCTATGAAAATAGAATAATTATGATACCACTGAGAGTGGAGTTCCTGCAACTTATTCCTCTTCAATGACTGTTCCTCTTCTGGTGTTGAGACAGTTATATACACCACCAGTAGCGTCATTTGGTGCAGTAATTTCAGCCAAGAAGACTGGTTCTTATAATCTTGGTTGGGCTGTCAATTCGCATGCATAATACAATCTTCTGGCAGTTGGGATGATTTAACCACCTCCTCTGTGGATGGCATCAGCATGTAAGACACAATCCAAAATGTTGACTCTGATACCTCTTTGATTTTCTTCGCAAAGTGGTCCTTCCTTGGTTGACCATTACCAAGCGGATTCCATTGATTCTCTCAATTCATTCATGTATTAAACTCCTGATGTCTTGTCCATCAAGATATTGGCACCTGAGTTATCTGGTCCAAAGGTCCAAATTCTGAGTGCATCTTCCTTATCCCATTCATATTCTTCATTAAGGGCTTTAGCTCTGAGTTTTGGTTCGTCTTTTGGTGTGACTTATCCTTTTTCAATAGCATCTGGTAAATTTTCATGTAATGGTGTGGCTTAAGCATAAATTCTGTTGTGCTTATTTGGTGATTTAGACATGCAAACAATGTTTGAGGTAGCAGATACGGTTTCCTTGTATGAGACGATTGGGTCAGATTTGATGAGTTCAATACCTGCAAAGTCTTTTTCTAAATCATTCAAACAGATTTCAACGTGTAATTCACCACATCCGGCAATAACGTTTTATCCTGATTCTTCAGTTGTGCATAAGACTAATGGATCTGATTTTGACAATTTCTTTAATCCATCGACTAATTTTGGTAAATCTCCTGGGTTCTTTGGTTAGACAGCAACTCTGACGACTGGAGATACTGAATATTTCATTGATCTGATTAAATGGCAATCTGGGTGGTCTGAGATGGTACCAGTCTTCATTAAATATTGATCAACACCGACCAATCCGACTGTGTTACCACATGGAACATCTGGGATGTATTCGACTCTGCTGGCCATCATGAGAACTGTTCTTTAGATAGCTTTTTCAAATAAGTCTTCCTTCTTTCCAACTTTGTAGTTAGCTCCCATAATTCTGACCTTTTATCCAGTAGCAATGGTACCAGAGAAAACTCTACCGAAAGCAAAGAATCTTCCTCTATCAGTTGTTGGAACCATCTTGGAGACGTACATAATTAATGGTCCCTTTGGGTTGCATTCTCTCATTGATTAAGCAATAGCATCATCTTATGGTCCTTCATATAAATATGAGGTTCTGTATTT